GTTTCGTAGCATATTGGTGTTTCAGTGTTTAAATTATTAGTCATATCTATTGATAACATAGCATTGGAGGAGGGTGTTAAAACTGTCAAATCATCGTCCTCAGCAGCCTATAAAACTTTAAATGAGCATTAAAAAATATTTTAAATATAAAATAGTAGGTCATATGAAAGTTTGTGATCAGACAAAGATGTTGACAAGATAAAAGAATCATCATTACAACAGAATCAGGGGAGGGAATATCGAATGAAATCGTTTCCACTTTGGTGAATGAATTGACGAGCTGTTTCTAATATTTGCGAAAAACTGAACTTAATTAACATTTGTTATTTCATCTCCCAACAAATGAAATTAATGATGAAAAAATTTACCTGAAGCATCCGCAATTTTTGCGCCAATTTCTCACTGAAAAGATTTCTATAGTCAGGTGAAAGTTTATCCATTAAGTCGTACAATGTATCGTAGTAAACGGTGAAGAGATCCAAACGGGTATAATCACCTTGCATGCAATCATGTCGTAGAGATGTGACACGCCAACCTTTTAACGTTAATTCTAAGCAGTACGGTTGCCCTAAAAAAGATATTATCATTTTAATAGAAGTACAAGAGTTATGACAGGATAACAACCCAAAGAAAAGTTTGATGAAATGAAAGGTTAGATATTTCGGAAAAAGTTATGTCGCATATATCCCTTATAATATATAAGCGCAGGAATGTAGAGTAATGGAATGATTCATATCGGAAGTATAAATCTGCGACAACCTTCAACAGTGGTAACATTGACGAAAATCAGATCCGGTGCTCGGGGAAGTATTTCGGAAACCGAAATTGTTTTCACTGCAAATGAGAGCTCATGAACAGCAGCAACGGCTTCCAGCTCGAGTAAGGAATCACCACGAGATTGTGGATTTGTTCCATGCAAGCTTCGATTTTTTGTGGATACTCTTGTCAATGATGGAAAAGACCTGCAAAAGCAAAAGAGGAGAAAGTTATAATTTCTAAAAATTCTAAGAAGAAATCTATCCATGTCAAGATTGAAATTTCCCTTCACAAAATTTAAGCCAATACCCGCAACTTACAAATCATAGTTATATAATCGATTTTAATTCTTCCAGCCAATTTCACTTGCCTTCGAATGATAAGTTAACCACACAATTCACCTGTTCTCAGCACGATAAAAAGTATAGAAATGGGATAGTGAATGAAAGCGTAGTGAAATACATTTCATGCAATTAAAGCAACTATTTGATGAGTGCAGAAATTTCATTATGACAGCGATACCACTGCTACCACATTTAGCAGACAGTTTCTTTTCGATTCATAGTGAACTAAAATAATATAGCAGAGAATGGTCAAAGAGTTGGAACTTTTGGAGCTGAATACATCAGGAATAAATCAATTAAGCAGTGAATTTCAAAGGTAGATGAATTTTAATTATGAAACAAACGAATCAAATTTGATAGCTCAAATTGTCAAAAAACTACTGCGAAGTGTTAACTCAGTGTCGAAGAATGAAAGAGGTAGGCAATTGAGTTAAATGGATACCGGGAAGGACAAAAGGATGGTAGATGACCGGAAGATACACGATATGACTGATCATTATCATTTTTACATTTCTATCTATTATGCATTATGTATATCTTGTAAAGGAACCAATGAGATCGTTTTGCTATTTGTTAATGATTTCTTAAAACTGATACTGAACTGAAGCAATTTCGCCAGATGAACAAGCATGTGCATCCTTTTCTTGTACCTAACAGAGAAAAAAGATACGGTACCAATATAAGCTAAGGTAATATACATTAAAAAGGATAGATACTCCAGTAATTTAATTTCACGAGTAATTTTAAATTATTAATTGCAATTGTTATAGCTCGTATTTCTATTTGGAATAATTCATTATTTTTGAGATGGCAATAAGTTTGGTATAACTTCCGAAGGAATGATTAGTAACAAATAAGACAGATTTTAAAAAATCAAACAAAGTTGCACTCATAGACTATAAGAGATTATAAAAATATCAGTAGACAATCTCAAGATTTAATTTGTCAATCAATATCATTGATCAATTTTCCATCCATTGCACTGAAAACGAAATTTGCTTTAGTTGTTGAAAAAGGAAAACAACTTCGTTTTTAACAATAGCATTTTTGTCAAGAAATTATTTTGATGAAAAAACAACTTCGTTGAAAAAACCATTTTGTCAGGAAATAATTTGTTGAACAAAAAATTTTGTTAAAATACCATTTTGTCAACAAATAATTTCATCGTGCATAATACTGTGTGCAATTGTTATTAAAGCAAGCAAATAATGGAGATTTTTTCCATTTCTAAAGTTATTATTAATTGTTAAAAAATTCAAAGCTTTTTTTAAATGCTAAAAGCAAAAATGGTAAATGTGCCTTTGCTATTTGTAGGAAAACAACATTTGCCAAATAGTTTGAATGATATGAACAAAAAAATTTCCAATGATAACATCCAATTTTACTTCATTCCAGTGATAACATCCCATTTCACTTCATGCTACTACTATCAGTGGAAACAAATAAAAAAGAAAAAGTTGAAAAAGAAAGACAATTTAAATTTATCATTACTGAATGACTTTTAACCTGAATAACGAATAAGATTTGAAAGTCAACAAAGAGCTAATAATTACTCGATGAGAATGATAAGGATAAACTGGGGCAAATATTAATCTGTCAAGGATGAATGGGAATAAAAATGGATTTGGCTTCTGGATGGTAATAAAAGTACAACACGTTTCGAAACCTGTAAGTGGATAAATGATAAAGTGATAAAATCACCAACCCCATCAAGCTTCCATTCAACGAACCTATTGTACACATATTGTCGATATCACCTAAAGGTGAATCACAAGCAGATAAGGATGCGCCTGAAATGAATTTTAATGAACTGTTAGCCGACTTCCCCTTTTAAACATCTAATCTGTCCCAGATAAAGGTGAAAAAACATTATGCGTCCATCAACTGATGAGCATAATATTGGTTACTTTTTTCATTTATATCAACTGATAACTATTCCGCATTGTTACAGAAACTTTTTACTTCATCATAGATAAATAACCACCAAAAATTTGAAATTAACAAACAACATTCATCACACATTTCGTTTGACAAATAAAATTATTGACTATTAGCTTCTTACTCCTCTCATAAAAATTATAGTACTTCTTATATTATAGTAATTCTTATTTATAGTATGCGGTAAATGAACTCACCACAAGTGGAATTTTTATGAGGTGTTCCTAAATTGACCGGTGAATTGGGCGGTGAAGTACAGCACTGATCACGATTATTCATCATCACTTGATAATAATTGATTGCTTGTCCCCATCTTTCCGATCTGTAACTCATTTCTTAAATAGCTATTACAATGTACTGATTTAAACCAATATTCCTTTCAAATACGGGCAAAGACAATAGTACAGACAAGAAATTGAAAGTGGAATAATTCTTTTGTGAAATTATCCTTCTCTAATCTCATCACCTTTTCTAATTAATAATTATCTTCAAAAATTAATTAATTTACTTTGTTTACATAATAGATCTGCGCCATTACTATTCCACACAATAATTCTCGTATTTCATATCTATATGATGAATGAAATGGAACAAATTTTTGAAAGTAAATAATTACCAGATAGCTTTCTGCCTCACTAAAACTATTGATTTGCATGAAAACTTTGCAATTTTTAGATTGCATGAATGATGGAGCCCTCTGATATGAATACACTGACAGAATTAGGCTGTCAACTAACAAGAAATGAAGCATTTAACTTTTATAAAAACATCAGAAAAAAAAGATGTCTTATTGAATATTTGCCAAAAATAAAAATTTCAATTTGAAATACTTGAAATTGATCGAAAATGTTCTTTTGCTATAGCTGCTTGCTAAAAAATATTGTGAGTATAAATTTAAAAAAAATTATAATGGTTGCTATTTGCTGGAAAAGATATGAGAATCAGAGAGATTCAAATCATCAAAATCCTAACGAACATTTCTTACCTCTGACCTCTAATCAAATTTATCGTTTGTTTTCCTTTAAGAAATCTGTCTTTTAATGAAAAGATGCAATGAAAATGCATCAGCTAGCATTTATTTCAATGAGAAAAATTTAGAAGCCTTACTATAATGACAAGAACTCGAAATTGCTTGGTATGATTTTTGTATGGGAAATTAATTGGTATGATTTTCATATAAGAAATTGATTGGTTTGATTTTCGTATTTCAAGTATGAATATAACAAAATCTGAAAAATGTTTCGTCTCCACCACTTTGAGAATAAATGTAACCAATCATTATCACATATTAAAATCATAATATATTAATTAAAGAAGCAAAAATAAGCAAGCCTTGAGAGATTACAAGGAAGTGGAGAAGTGAATAAGGCTTACAGATATGCGATAAATTGATAAGTAAATAATAAAAGAATGGCGCAAAATATTTTGAGAAAGAGAAAAATGCCGTAGAGGGAAGCTTCCAGCCAAAACAGTATGAAGAGAGAAGTTATAAGTGAAAAGTTTTGAAAAGATGAGAGATTTCTTTTATGCAATGTCAAAATTCTATCGTATCTTTAATAACAAAGCCAAATTCATTGAAAGTATCATTTTCATTTGTGTCGCATTAATTCCCCCAAAAGTTACTACTAATATTATCAGCAAAAATTTTAAAATCTTAAACTCTACTAAAAATATATTTTTATCAAAACAGAAAGAATGAATGGCATTATTTCATTGTTGCAAATGACATTGGTTGATGTTACAATTTCAATAATAATCATATGATCATATGATCAATCAGCATATGACACATATTGCTGATAATATAAAATTATTATCCACCTAACTCTATCACTCATAAAGAAAACATTGGAGAAAAAGTTACTTACTCTTGGCGATGATATAAAGGTGAAGATTTCAGGCAATCAGCTAGCACGTTGGCAGTGCAACGAGAATTGGGCAGGGAATTCTCACAACATTCGCTATACAACGGATAAGGCATTGTTCGAGATTTCGTGATACTCTTTTGACTGCTGAAAACAATAGAAGAGTAAATGACGAAACTGGCAGTAAATACTACTTTCATCCTAGATCCTAGATCAATGAAGTTCGTAACTCCATACAACTAGCTCTAAATCTATGATATGAGTAGATCCTATTCAACTAATCGTTACCCATTTAGAATTACCAGAATTGCAAAATATTTTGAAAGTAAACATGGATGAGTACTAATATATCCGGTCCGGTGAATAACAGGAAGCCAACAGTTCAGCTACTCCAAAAAAAAAAAAACATGTTGAATAAAAAGTGGAAAAAAACATGAATATTCATTCCAAAAACAAAAATAATTTATCAATGAATCAGATATCTCTTAATCTAACAGTAGCGATCGCTTTATCAATGTAATATCATCCACCTAATCTATTATATTATATCTAACTGGGTCAAGCATTAATACTAAAGGTATAGGAAAATATTAAAGAATAGCTTTAAGAATGTGGAATGATTGTCATAGAAGACATCTCACTCACAAATATAAAATAAGAACTTGAATTTTAAAGGGAAGAAGAAAGAATGCATAACCCAAGTCTTTTCTTCCCATTCCTCTACTTTTCCTACAAACGTCAGAGAATATTTCTTTTCCTTTTCTTCTTTTTGCAGAATTACAACGAAAGGTTATAGAGCTGTGAATAACGCAGAGAAACATTAAAAAATTTTAAACTTGAACCGTTCATTAACATAGCTACTCCTTTTCTCTTTATTACATTATTATTATTTTGAAATGCCTAAATTCCATTTCCGATATTTCGAAATCATACTTTAATCTTTGTAGTAGTGATTAGAAGGATATAAGACAAAATATATCGAAAAACCTCAATCAATTTGAAGGAAATATTATAAAATTGCTCGATCAATATGAAAATCTTGATCAATATGTAGGAAATATTACAAAATTGCTCCGATAGATACATTTAAATGAACAATGAAGATAAACTGCGAATATCCGAAGAAAGAATTTCTTGACACGACTTTCTCTTGGAAAGAAATAATAGTACCTGTGATTTAGATATGTCGAAGAGATGATATATTCATATTTTTTTCACCATTAATCTTATGATAACAACAAGATACAAGGATAATTTCATATCTGGAATTTCCTGTATGTCACCTCAACAACTATATGTCAACCTTAACTTATTCCATGACAAAAATTATTATCAGATCTAGGATCAAACGACTGTGATGGACAAGAATTCGTAGATTCAAGAGGTTTTTGGAAGATAAAAAGTAGACATCATTTGCCTTTCGACATACATTTTTTCAATGTTATATGAAATGATATCGCCATTCGAGAAATGACGTAAAGACTTTCAGTGAGTTATCTGAAGGAAATGCTTCCTACAGTGTAAATGGTGCGCTATCAATTCATCAAAAAATTAACGGAAGAAAGTGAACGGTTGGATGCTATTTTAAATATATGTTTGAACAATCTACCCAACTAACGGATTGATTAATCGATGTCAGCTGATAATTTTGTTCTGACTGTTCCATCCAATGAACATAAAAAAATTATGGATGGCGACAAATCTTCATCCATAAGATGAAGCAAACTTCGTTACAAATTGTTAGCATAAACTTTAATATAAATATATTGACTAAATGATTTTAAAAGAGAAAGGAAGATGGAATGTAACCTACGATAGTATAGATCGAAGTCGGTTACCGCATATGTGATAATCACCAAAGTATGATAACCTGCCTTCATAATCTCCCATTGATGCACTGGATATCTTCAGATGTACTGGTGGATCAGCTGCCATTTTATTCATACACTTTGAATTTACAGTTAATTCCAGCGGAAATGCAACAGAATTAATTTTTCATAGCAATCACTGGAATAACGCATAAATAAATAAATATTTCAAACAACATTAATGCTTTAATCGATGATACTATTCAAAAAGATCGAATCAAAAGTTGAAGAGGAATGGAGAAAATATGCCGAGAACTAAAATGTTAAATTAGAACATAGTGCACCATATCGATTAAACTGCACGTCGGAAATTTAGCAATAAGTAATAAAAATGGAATAAAACGTTGACAATAGGTGGGCCTAATTTATGTATCTCAAATCCATCTTTTCCTTTATCTGTCATAATAATTTCAAGTAAATGATAACATAGAAAATATATCATACTAATCAATAAAATCATTGTTAAACCTTTTTAAATCCTGTCATATTTAGACAGCATGAAAAATTTATAATATACCATTTATCAATTTATCATTTTCAGTAAATAGGAAAATTGAAAAGCAAAGTTTTATGCAAAATAATTTTTCTATGGAGAATAATATTATAATTTTTTATAGGATATGAGATGAGAGAAAACTGACCCATTTATAGCATCGATCACTAAACCAACAATAGATCATTCTAAATGGTTGATCTCTTTTGTAATAATTGTCAATTAGTATTAAACTATAATTACGCTCTTATTAAGATATATATATTGCAATTGTATCATTATCCCACATATTTCTGATCAGTTGGGAAGCGAAGATATTTGCATAAATGTAATTATTTGTTCTTAACTCAACAAAAGAAATATCATAGAAGCATGGGAAAACAATGTGAATATTTCTATCGGAAAAATTGAACTTTACACTCAACAAACACCAGTCTTTCATCTGATATATTTATTCAAAAAGCAATCATTCATCTATTTCTATATTCAAAATTAACTTTCAAATGATTATCGAAAGGAATGTGGAGAAAATCACGGAGACAAATAGTGGCTAGAAGTTTTTCAACATTTAATGATTTACTATAAATTACCGTTTATTTACCAATCGATCTAGAAATTCTGCACTTCAGTATCATCCACTGGAATTCTTAACATTGCAGAATATTTTGTTTTTTAATTCTTTTTTTCTTTGCTTCTTCAATTTTTCAAAAAATGTATTATTCCTTTATGCTTTCGCAGAAAGAGCAGATTGCAGTATAACAGATGATATTGGCTATTTTTGATTTCTTTAACCAACTGATATTCAAAGTTGATCAATCACAGTTGATCCAAAGATAACCAATTAAATTTCTAAAGCTAAAATATCCCACTAAGTCTATGAAATATTAAAATTTAGTAAGTAAGCTGAAAAAGTTTCACAGAGAGAAAAAAATTGTGAAAGTGAAAAATTGTCTAGCAATGAATGTGAGAGAACAATATGAATAATTGTCGATGAATCAATATGAATAATCGATGAAACAAAACAAATATGAACAATCATTGTCATTCCATGATACAGGTCATCATCATTCCTTATCATCATCATCATCATCATTCATTGATTATTTTTGTTATGTATTACACACTGATAACAAATGATAGGATTGGATGTAACAGAGATGAACAACAAAAAACATAAATTAATGGCATGGAAACGTAGCCTACACTCAATGAAAATCGGATAATTCTTTCTTTCATCGATAATGACAAAGCACATAAACGATACATTTTACACATTTCTTTCTCTCCTCTCCGTCTATCTCTTACTCAACAAACAAATCTTGCAAATATAGTGAATGTCACAATCGATAAGTAATTTACGATGTTGCTAACGTGCGTACCTTTATCATCCAAGAATTCACATGACTATCATAATTTCTTATCATAAGTAATAGTAGTAGAAATGGTAGATTGAAGGTAAGGTAAGAGAAGGAAAGGTAAGGGAAGGAAAGGAAGTGGAAAAGATAAACGATCCTTCAACGTTGTTGAATTTTTTTCATTCAATGTTAATTGTGTTTCAACGAAATTAGTGGAAAGTATAAAAGTTATAAAAAGGGAAAAAACACTTACAGATGTTAGTGTTACACAGAAATGGAATTACACAAGGAAAGTGACACGAAACATCAATTAAACAAACGCAACTTGGAAAAAACAGCACCTTCATTGATTTTTCTATAATCAATTTCTCTTTCTTTCCCTCTCTCTCTCTCTCTTTCTTTCTCTCTCTCTTTCCTTGTATATAAATATATATGTACGTACAAAAGGATGTGAAATTTATGATGAAAAGGAAAAAATAAAAGGGAAAAGGCTTTGGAATGTAAATGACGATAGTGAAGCGATCGTGATGATACTAAAACAATCGTGGTGATGCTAAAGCGATCGTTGCATTAGAAACTTCATACTGAAATTATGCAACAAATTAATTGGTTAGTTTATCTTATGGGAAATTATATCCTAATGAGATAATGAATACAGATGAAATTCTATAATTAACTTATAATTGGTTAGTTTATCTTACGGAAAATTCTATGCTAATGAGATAATGAATACAGATGAAATTCTATAATTAACTTATTAGGAAAAATTTTCTGTCAACTCCGTTGTGGAATAACATTTCAATTACACTGATAGTTTAGCTTAATTGACGCATTCAAATAAATATCACGAAAATTTTTTTTTTATTGATAGCATTAATAACATAACTTTTGCTTACTAAAAATAACACTTCAAAGAAAATAATATTTATAGCTGTAGAGAATATTGATGATATTCTGATCGAAATATCTTGCAAATTTCAATTTTTTAAGAAAGGTAAAAAAAAAAGATGAAATCTGTTGCACCATTAAATTCAATCATCTATTTCGAATTTTAAATTGATAGTTAAAAAGATATAACTATTTTGTAATATATAACAATATATACATATAAGTAAAATATGACTACTTTTTTAATATATAACTATATATACATATAACTAAAATATAACTATTTTTTAATATATAACTATATATACATATAACTAAAATATAACTATTTTTTTAATATATAATTATATATACATATAACTAAAATATAACTATTTTTAGCTATAATAATGTATTATTTCAAATTCTAAAATTAATATTTAATGAAATATTTTGCGAATAATTGTTACATAAGGGAATTTATTAAAATAATCATTTAGCCCGATTTGATAAGTCCTGGTTTAATAAGGTGTGATAGTACAGCTAATATTACGACTAATTATTATCTTCAATTTAATGATAACTTTACTCTTAATCCTTTCCGCATAATATTGTAATAGCATGGATGATGTTAAAATGATATTTATGATAATTTAAACAGGAATTTAGAATTAAGAATTTAACATATGGCACTTATCCAATTGGTAATTTTTACAGCAATCGGTATACTGTATTGTGGCGATTTTTATGAGGCGAAGATAATAAATGAATGAATGTATTGGTTAAGTGTAAGTGAAAGTGCAAGTATCGCGAGGATAACAGGAGTGGTGAAGATTCAGCCGTTGATGTGTAAATAAAATCGATGCCGTCCGTCTACTGTTTAGATTGAAATTTTGAAACATTCTATGAGAAATCTCGTTTTTCTTTCTTTCTATCATGCTCTCATTATATTCATACGTTAATTGCAAAACTCTCAATCAATATTGCAGCAATAGCAAATAACACCATAGTGACAGCTATCATTTGTAAATATGAAAATTTAAAAGGTGTTATTAAATGAAATTAATCTTTGATTGAAATGGCATTATAGAAATTAACAAATAAATGGATAAAAACTTTTTGAGCAGAAATTTTTGAATCAGATGCCTTTTTCGATCAAAAAGAATATTTTCCTAAAAGTATTTCAAAGGCAAATTTTCGATTTAAATTTTGTTGAGAAAAATTAATACATTGTTTGTTTGATTTATGATCTTATAATATATTTTAAAAATCATTGTCCTATTAATTCTCTCGAAATTCTTTTTTCATTATTCCGGAAATATTCAACATAATTATCCTGCTGCTATACTGTTAAACCTAAAATCAATATCGATGAAAATAATTTCTAAAGGTTAAAGATTATTTCAAATTGTCTGTCTGAAATCAGAGTAGTATAAAATAGAGAAAAATGATGTAGTAAAATCAAATAGAACAGTAGTACTTGAATATCAATGAATTCTGCTATTACATCAAGGAAATCTCAAAAGTACAATTTTGAAAATCATTATTCAAACATAGAGTACAATTAGTCGTAATTCATTATTAAACTAATGCATTGCTAATACATGAGAAGTGAAAAGCTGGATTATACTCAATGCACTAATGACTAATGAAATTCATCGTAACCGACATGATTATAACGAAATAGCATTCCAATAATGCTAAAGTTCATTTTGCTACTCTTACCGCTAAAGATTAATTTATAAGAACTCCAATAAGAAGAACAAATTAAAAATGAAATTGTACTAAAATTTAAATATCAATCTTCTTTATTTAGCCACCACAAATACTTTTAACTCTCTTTACAAAAACTTTCTTTTATCCTTCACTTCCAATTTTTTCTTTAAACCTTTAATAAAAAATGCACTGTTGAGTAAGACCTCAATAATTTTACGATCGTTGTAAAAATTCGATCTAATTTCGTATAACAAAATATTAATTTGGCTATTTACTTAGTTTGACTGGCCGCAATTTGATCACGGTAGATAATCTATGATAACTAATATGTAGCAAGAGGAAGAATCACATATTTTTCATTGTAACCCACTCAGAATAACATACAGCACACATTTGTCATAAGGCGAAAGCAAACCGAGACCAGGTTCGATATTTCTGTGAACGCGCATAACTGCATGATGCTGGCGGTGACCACTGCGATCGGTTTTCAATAGGTGTAGGTCTACGTTTGTCAAAAACTGGTCAGAGCGTTATATATGTACTTGACATGGTTGTATATGTTGAGGCGTAGTGGAACACCGGGATTTGAGAAAGATGTGTTAATTGGACAAGATCCGACATTATATTTGCCATGTTATCTCAGAAGTGAAATCTCATGACATTCCACTACCCATTGAAATACACTTCTGGCATGTTTCCACCTCCTATCTTCCTGAATATTCCTCGCTTTAACTTTCCCCACATTGTAACTTCTGCGAAGTTAAAATTTTCGAGAAATGGTGAATATCTGAAATTTTCTCATAAAAAAAGAATTTTATTTGGAGAGAAATGAGAAGCACTTATTTGGATTATAACTGACGAGCAAAATGATATGATGATATGATGTACAGTGTAGAAATTTCCATTAGTGAAATGTTAGGTTTCTCTTAACTCGCTTTTGTATCAAATTTTATACGATGAATTCTCTGAATAGTTCGTCGTCATACCGTTCGAGGAAAAAAACGTTACAAATTTATTTCTGGAGGAGTAGGTTTTTACTGGTCCCCAAATTTATTACAATATATTGGAATTTGTATTATTTGTATGCCTCTTTCTCTGATAAACTTATTAGCTCTTTTTGCCTTTCTATCTACTTATTATTTTCCTTTCAACTGACATTTTTGGAAGAAATTAAGAATTGAACATATAAGATTAGGAAAGTTCACATCGAGAGAAGTACCCATTTGGGCTTTATTTTTATGGTAAATGAAATATTACACCACCATCTAACTTTAATTTTTCTTTGGTGTTACTAGAAGCATAAATTTAGAACGAATTTGTGTAGAAAAACTGGGATTTGTTCTGAATACCACAAGTTAAATTATAGTTATTTTATAATATCAATTGGAAATGACGCATATATTTTATTAAAACACGTGAATGGAACGGTATTTAATCGACTCTAAACAGAGTACACCTGAAAAAACTTTGAACTATTGAATCTAGAAGGAATCTCTACATAGAATGATTAAAAGGATTATACTATTTTTTCGTTTTTGATAAGGAATATGAAGCGTTCAATTTGAATTCGGAATTTCCGAACCCATGTCGAGTTTTAGTGTTGAGCAGATTTATACCGATAACTGGAGTAGATGTCACTGTACTGCATTTTTTGTGAGATTTAAGATAATAAGCCACGAACAATTGGAGATGTGGGGATAAGAACAAGGCATGATTTGATGAGGTTAAAGGGAGAATTTATCCTCGAAGCGTGAGCAACTCTAGGATTAGATATGCGAATGGTAAGAATCTTTTTGTGACGACAATTTATGGAGTGATACTGACCTCTTCGACCATGACTCGAAAATCACTTTTGAGAAGGATGGGTTAATTGGACATAACTAGGTATACGTATTGATTACTTTTCCTTTAGAAGTGCCCTCTTTGATAAAGTTAGGGTCAAGGCAATTAAAATATATAAGCTTGCTTATGGCAAAAAGAGATAGAATAGTATGTGCTGCTACGTCCAAGCCGCTTTCGATAGCACCTCAACTTGGTGACAATATGTTCAGGTGCTTCGTGGATTTGGAAAATGGTGCTTTGTGGCCTTTACAGGTGGCAGTAACTTACCTAACAACGGAGTCGCCAATGTCATTGGATGATGAACTAGCACCTGAAGAGTTATCATTTGTCGGCTTCAATCAGGATGCTACGTAAGTTCATTTTTTAAGAGTATGTTGAGTAGGTCTCACTTGAAAGAGTTGATTTTGGTACGACACATAATGCATGAATATAAACATGATGCCGTAGTCTTCTCAAAATCGAGATAATTTTCTTGCGATAGAAGGAAGTATTTGACCCATGGAAATCTGTTTTATTTGTCCATCTTTAAGTCAATAAATACGTGAGAACTCAGCAAAATAATTAAGACTTGTTATAGGTAATGCTTTTTTAAGGGAAAGATGCTTTTTACTTTGACAGCGTTTAAGTATTTAAGCAGTTAAGTAATCAGTTCAGTGATAATGAAATAACTTGATACTATTACAGGTCGCTTGCTTTGGGTGCAGCATCTAGTTATGCGTTGTATTCAATCAAGAAAACTGATAAATTTGACTTAATTCACGAAAGTTATAGACAGTTCTCAGATGACAAAAAGAAAAATGTAGGTAAGACCGACTACTGTCATTATGTTTATGAAGAATTGAAAAGATTCTTGTCAAGCGTTAAAAATGTAAGAACTAGGAAGACACCGAGACTGTCTGATTCCGTCACTGCATTTGTAAAATCCAATCTAAGATCGCCATCGTTCTACTGAAAAAAGGATTAGACAATGTCGGGACAGTTCGAGGTATGATGGAAAATGCTGTTTTAAAATTTCAAATATGCTTGATTTTTTTGTGAATTTGTTTGTGAGGTAAAATTAAACCTAAAATGGCTGCTAAGCCATTTAGATTTAAAGGTTTAGGCTGTAATTATTCTTGGTTTTCAGCACTAACTTCAGAAACTGAAATGTCAAATTATTGCTTGTATCTTTGAAATAAATATTTTCTGGTTTTCAGCACTAACTTCAGAAACTGAAATGTCAAATTATTGCTTGTACCTTTGAAATAAATATTTTCTAATTATAGAAGTCTCGGAGATTATGCTCATTGAGCGTCTATTTTCATCCAGTCTTTTGATGCTGGTATCGACGCAAGCACCGCGTAAATTACGGATTTATCATTTCCAAAAAAACAATGAGATTTGTGCTCAAAGCTACACAAATACAGTACTGGCAGTAAGATTAAACCGTGATGTAAGGATTTTTCATTGTTTTGGAAGTGTTTTTTTCTGTAGATTAGATGTTAACGTGAAATGTTTTAAAAACAAGAAATAAGATTCAGAATTCTTTGATTTTTCACTTTGTGATAGGAAATATCACTCATGCTCTTCAGAAATTGAGAAATTACTTCAATCTACTTTGAAATAAATTTTTTGACAGAACTTAAATGCATTTATTTGCAGTATATGGTTGTCTGTCTGGAAGATGTAATATATATTCATACAGTTAAAGATATGAAGGTGATTTTTTTAATTTGTTTTTTACAGCATGTACTTTATAAATTTATTTCAATTTTCTTGTCCTTAAAACTCAAGAAATTTATGTGCGTGAGCAGCTGTGAACCAAATTATCAGTTCACCAACATATAAACCATTTTGATCATATCTACAAAATATGTAAATTGAACAGCAGAGATAATTTATTGACATATGCGCTAATATTTATGCATCGCGTGCACTTTTAAAGCATTTATTATTTTGTGCTATGTCTTACAGAACAAAAGTATTTTTGTGTTTGTGTGTAAGTAGGAACATGATACAGGCATAACAACGATAATCAAAGAAGTGGTTTTTAAAATTCTTATGACAAGTTTTTTTCAATAAGAGTGTTGGGAAATTGGTATGAGATGACATGATTTCGAATGTAATGATCTGTGTAAGTGTAATGGTGAAGGAGTTATGGCTATCGATCTTGTCATGAAGAACTCTTGTTCTTCATGAATAACTGTTTTAAACTTATGTCATGTAGAACCTTTTTTAAATGTCAGTTTGCTCCATCGAAATAAAGATGAATAACGCGGAACATACGGAGATTTTTTCTTGGTTGATTGATTGCAGCAGTTCTAAATCTAAATTTATAGAACTTCCAACTCACTGTTGAAGAACTTTATTTATTAGTATGCTAGTTGTGATTTCATTAATGTTCTTAAATTCTAAAAGGACAGCTATCGAAGTGGATAATAGATTATTATAGATACTACCATTCAGAGTAATTACGGAAAATTCTGAAGTTAACATATCTTTCAAAGCTCGTCTTCGTTTCGCTCATCAACACATTTGAGATGTGGATAGTTTGCAAACAGTTGCACCACGTAATGTTGACACAGTCATTAGATCATTACTAGTAGCATATACCAAGTAATCTAATCTATCTGATCTCTTCTAAGTATTATTTTATCAAATTCAGATCACAAATAACGATAATTTTTTTTATATCGTATCCGTAATTTATATTCTAACCTTGCGTAGACCGATGTTGAATCACCTGTGTTTGCTGAAGCATGAACAAAACAAAAATGTTTTTTTGATTAAACCGATATTTTTCCGGTCATTCATACAATCCGTGATACGCCTTCAAATGCCAGTGGTATTGTCGATCTGTCTTCGACTGTCAATTCTTTTTTAGCTTATCCAGGCTCAATCAATAACGGCCACGGTAAAGATTTTCCTGCTTTTTCTCTATCAGTAGTATTGTTGCGGAAATTTGTAGTTGTCCTCCAGTCTATTACAACATGATTGAATGAAAGTAATGATGAATGTGGTACATTCATGATAGAAAGAACTGAACTAGAAGGAACACATCATACATTTCACTAGTAAAAGATACTTAAGTGGTTGCAGAAAAAAGATCTTTTAATATACTCATTCATAACTGACACCGCACCTGACAATTTTTGCATGGAGAATGATAGGGGAAGACAGGAAAGAGAGATGGGTTGAGAATTCGGAAACTAATATTACTTTTAATATTTTTTTAAGTTCAATTATTTGACGTAACACGTTTGAATTCGATGAATACAATTTCGGCGCATAACAGTCCACTGGCGGCGTTACGTTTCAGTTATGACGGCAAAAAGTTGGCTACTGCTTCAACCCGCGGTACTGTAATTCGTGTGTTCGACACTGAATCTGGGGACCGACTGTATGAATTCACACGGGGCGTTAAAAGGTAGTTTTTAAAAGTATCGAAGAGTTTTCAATCTGAAACAGAATGAATGAATCAATTTACAGGTTTGTGAGCATTTATTCAATGGCATTTAGTGCTGATGGTAATTATTTATGCTCTTCAAGCAATACCGAAACGGTTCATGTGTTTAAATTGGAGCCGACAACTGATCCAATAAATGAGTAAGATATATTAACTTAATTATTTTTCATTTCCTAAAGAATGAAGCTTTGACATCAATTGTTTGATTTTATCTATTTTTTAAAAATTTTTAGTTGTTTTATAGTGCCTTTTATATCGTTTTTCTTTCTTAATTTTCACTTCTTTTATTTCTGCAATTATGATTTTTGCTTTGTAAGCAGAAAAAAAGGTAAGAAGTGACAGTAATTTGTTAGTGTTCATCAGATCCATAAGTAAGAATTTAAGATTGCTCATAGTACTGAGAATGCTAAGTTCAGAAATGAAGACGATGAGGAACAAGGATGGGTAGATTATTTGTCAAAACAAGCGAGCAGCTATTTGCCAACACAAATGAATGATCTTTGGATGCGTGGAAAGAGTTTTGCTACTGCAAGATTGCCATCGATTGGGAAACGGAACACAGTTGCGCTACCACTGTAACTTTTCTGTGTTACAGATATAGTAACTTGAGATATTTGCTACCTTTTATTGATTTATCACCCATAGAGGGATCTGAGTATTCTGCTGATCATATAAAATCTTCTGCTAAGTCTTGGTTACAATTCATGAACTTTATTTATTTCCATACCAAATCTGGCACTGTTTACTCGGAACCTATGAATAATTTCCCCAAGTTGAAAAAAATTTTTACATTTACCTTCAACTTGGATCGAAAAATTAAAAGATCCATATTGGTTTTGACTTTATGATTAGAAGAGAAGTAAAATTTAGTACATTATCATGAATTTCAGTCACAGTTCTAGAGTTGGTTCTTGGAATGGTTGGAGTACTTTTGCATTTATCGCTATTTTCAGAATTAACGGCAAACTACATTTGCTAGTTGCAACGACTGATGGTTTTGTATACATATATCCAGTAGAAACAGAAGGAGGTGAGCTGACTTTGCTACGACAACATAAAGTCAGCGTAAAGGTTTGTATTCTCATCTTCTCCCTCTTTAATCGAACAAAAGTAGTTATATTTAATATTTCAAGTATTACCATGGCAATATCAATATTGAGAGCATCGTCCAATCACTATTATATTTGGAGCACATTTGTGTGTTAATAGGAACCTAAGTTTTTCCTCTTCCAGCAGGTGTACAGGAGAGCACAAGATGCTGAAAGGTGAATCATGGTTTTTTTTTATTCATCCATTTATGAATAAATTAAAATTTTCAGTATTCTCCAGTAGTCCATGCAAATGATCCGTCTGACAATCAAAGTAATGAAGATAACGATGGAACGGGAAGTGAAGAAGGGCCCGCTCTGGATAGGCACATAATGGACAACTTTCCACCCCTGAACCATTCCACCGCATAGATTTTCTTTAGTTTTGCTTAAAAAAGGATTTTTTTTTAAAAATTAATGGACTCACACGTGTAGTATCCATTCATAAGAAAGCTTAAGGTTTGTGAATATATTGTGTTTGTCAGCAATTTAATTCCATATATTAAAGTCCATTTGTACTAATGAAGTCATCTGAGATTGAGATTTTCTGTAACTTCAAGATGGACTCCATATTTTGTATCCTTCTTCATTGCTTCGCTTGTTGTTCAGTGTCTCAAAAGGAAGATCGGGGTTCACTATCACGTTTGTTAGATTTCCATCGTCATTGTTCTTGAAAATAAGACGTTTGATATGTCGGCATTTCTACAAATTAAATACAATTTGGATTCAACAATATATTTCCAAAGTAGCGTTCAGTAGATGCTGAAAAGATCTTCCATGTGACCAATTTTCTGTAAAGATGCATTTTTTTCATTGTAAAATTCTTAAGATTTTTTATTTTTCATATTTTTTCATGCATATATTTTCATGATTTGTCCAACTTGTTTAAACTCTTCTATTTTTGCTTGAGAAGGAATTTCAAATTGTAAATTTTACATATTTATAGGCAAATCTTTTGTATATTTTCATTTGCAGTACTAGATTGGGAAAATTTAGTCATTTTTCTCTAAACATTTTTACATATTACGTTATCTTTTTATGCATGACAATGGTTCCGTGCACTTTACTACACGAGGATAGTTTTGGAAACTCACATTAGAATATTTTCATTATTCATAGCGATTTGTCATTTATTGTACTGAAAAAAGTTGTGTTGAAAAATGCTTTATTGATATTTTAGTTGTACAAATTTGACAAATGTTTTACAATAAAACTCAGCTTTGTTCAAAACATAAAACATTTGATAAAGAATATTAAAGATTTTCTGGGAACATTTAAATTTAAAAAATTTTGCCAATATTTTCTGTTTCCGACTGCGGGCGTGGTTGAGAGCAATATCGACAGGATCTGGGACATTCAATTGCCATCAGCGGGACATAATGTGCATCTTAGCACAATGTTATATATTTCCGACAGTCTGAATGATCGTTTAGGCCTTTTAGATCAGTGCAGCAGCTATCATTTGGAAATACACCTAGAAGTATTGTTTTTTACATAGTAAATTCCAATGGAAGGATGAGTTTTTGAGTTTCATCTGCCTGAAAATGCTCCTAGCTGTTGACTCCTGTCCGGCTGAATAATGACAAATTCTGTATTTATATCAACATACGGATGTAATGTCATCTAAAGTTTTCACTGGAATTTCGCAAGAGAATAAACATGTACGAAGCGTTATAACAATCAGATCCGGACAACGTCCACATTTTACAGGTCATTAGTCCACATGTTACATATTACAGGTCATTAGCTTACAGTATACATTATTATCACAAAGGTGATCGTATTTCGCACAAATCGAATAACGATTAGATGCAGACTTGTCATGATACAACTCTATGTAATAAAAGATATTTGAGAGGCATCCATTAAGGATTTGATATACGATCTGCTATATTGGTAAGGCATTGCTTCAATTAAATCTCAAAATAAATTGACTTCGAAATCTAATTGAAGCAATATCTTATCAGTACAGCTAAATTGGAGGTATTGAGATCATTCTTATATGGTGCGAAAATAAATTCGAATAATCATTTTTGAATTTTCATTCTCATTTATTAATCAATCATTTTTTTATCTTTTAAAATGACAAAAGCGAATAATAAATGATGCAAGAAAAATGCACAGAAAATTTAATTCAAATGTTGATAACATTTGATAACATCTAAAAGTTTTATTTGATAGTCGTCAAAATCAAATTGAATGATAAAATTTAGCATGTTAGTATCATTGAGAAAATTCCTTATACATCTCGGAGATAAATGAGATAATCAACTTTAACATTACAAATATTTCATTCGTAGTCATAGTCAGTCAGATCAATCGATCGAAATGGATTCGAATTTTATCGAAAAATTGATTTGAGAGAAAGATATTAGAAAGAAGTAGAGGCAAAGTAAACAGTTTTATTTTCAAATTCGATGAATAGCTTTTGCATTTTTTATCATTCGCCATTCAGCAAGAATGATTAAAGTAATTTTTTTACTACTATCATAATGTACTTGCCTTTAACTAAGGATATCAAATTCAGTGATAATTTGATAGGGAATTTTTGTCCCTCAAAAATTCCATCCAAATCGCACAAAAAAATCAGGCATAATATTTTGAATGGTATCATTGCCCAACAAGCGAACTGTTGTGATATAATTCGTTAAATTAAATGGAATATAATCCGTTAAACTGAATGGAAGAAATATAAGCATTAAATATATACATTAAAAGTATCAGCTTATAAAAATTCTGCTTGTAGAAAATCTGAGAAATGAGCTAAATTGTATTTGAAGATATTTAACTGAGAAGAAGTAACATACATTCCTCGTTAACGACCTGTGACTTATCTGACGTTTTTATAAGTTAATTTCAACTTTGTTGTATAATCAATGACACTAAATAGTATCCAAATACTGATAACATTGGCATATTATTTTTAACTATTCTTTAGAAGAATAAAAATTATTTTAAATCTGAAGTAAAATGAGAATTTTGAAAATTATCTATTTTAAATTATTCAAAATATTCCTTATCCTGATTTTCTAGGTTAAGAAAAGAAAATAATCAGACTGATTTCTATATTTATTACGATCGAAACCAAGTAATATATATTGCATCTTCGATTGATTCATACGATCGAAATCAAATATATGCCAACGAAGTAATATATATTGCACCTTCGATTGATTCATACGATCGAAATCAAATATATGCCAACGAAGTAATACATATTGCATCTCTGATTGATAATCAAACTTTGTTATTATCGATTATCAATTCCTGTCCCAGGGAGAAATGCATTTTCAAAATTTCTGTTTGATCAAATACAAATTTATTTCGTACAAAATGTCAAAAATAATTACGAAAGATTTTAATCTTTCCATTTTAAAAATATAATTGCAAATTACGAAGAATTGATTTGGATTTGATCAACTATTCTATTACGAATATTACTTAATAGATGTGAAGAAACAATTTTTTCATAAAACGGGAAATTCGTAATAAAAAGTGGAAATAATTGAAAAGATTTCTTCCTAAAATAGTTGCAATAAAGCTGATAAGCTCACATTTATTGATAAAGTTAATAGTCAAATAATGCTTGAATATGTATTAAAATGCAGTATTTATTGATAATAATGATAATAATATATTCAATCAAAATTGGGTAAATTATAGCAAAGAAATTGAAATAATTTGCAATTCTCTATTGTTTTAGCAAAATTAGAATAGGATAAATTCCACAAGTTTATGACTTCGTAAAACAACAATTAAATGAAAATTTATTTAATACGAACTTTTGTCTAATTTCTTAGCATATTTGTTAAAACATCCCTTATCATTTAAATCACTACTGATTGATAAAAGAAAAACAAATTGAATTATCTAAGAAATTAGACAAAAAAATTCATATTAAAAATTTTTCATTAATTAATTGATATCTTTCTAAGAATATATCCTCTTTTTGCAACATCAAACAGAAAAAATAGACAAAAAGAATTCTTCCGCGATATATCGTAATGGATGTTTTAACAAATATCCCATGCTCAGTTATTGAGACATTTTGTATCAAACAAATTTTGCAGTATTCCTAAGAGCATTGAAATATTCATCATTCATGCAGCAAATACCACGACATATGAAATGGGGAATCAATAAAGCTCTGCGAGAATTCAAAAATTTCGATGAAAATATTTGAGCTATTTCAAACAAGGATATCACCTTACAAAAGGTGATATCCGCATTTGATGAGATAGTTTCAATATATCAGCAAGCGAAAATTTGTTGGAAATTTCCTTTTATGGAATCCCAATCGTATTCTTCTGTGATATGGATAAAATCTACTGTTCGATGAAAAATGGTGTTTGTTCTGAAGTAGCAAATAATAGATTTAAATTTTTAAAATTTTAATTTTCAAAAGGTTTTCTTAAAACCTCTTGGATTTAATTTGTCTTACAATGTGTTTTGCTTAATACATTGAAAGAGATGAACAATCAATAATGCAATGATACATATAGCAGAAAACTGAATTACAAAAAACCACTTATTTTACACGTAATAAAATGACGTATACTAGACACACACATTTCGTATTAAGTTATGTTTGAAATTGAAAAAAAGGTAAACAACGTAATCTTCTACTCAGCGAACAATTCTGTAAAATATCTCTCATAGATGAACAAATTGATAGCTCTCTGCTAAAGAGAAATTAATCATTCCCTTTATACTCATCCATCATACTTTTAAAATATGCTTATTAATTTCATGCAAGAGGAGAAAAAAATCTTTTGAGTTATTAGAAAATCAACCAAATCATTAGCGAGGCTAACATATCAGACTACATCATTCTCACCGAACAAAACAAGCTATTTTTCCGATCTATTCAGTTATTTCTGTCAAAAGGTGCGACATCGATTACTGATTACCATTCATTAAGACATATTATAAAATGAAATTTGATATAGTAGTACAAGTATTTGTAAATTACTGACTTGATGCTTTTCAATACTTGAATAAAGTTGGTCAACCGCAAGTTCTTTTACAACGGTAGCTTCTCTGACGGATGATGCAGTCATTTTTTTGATTACAAAAAAGGAAACTTCTGTATCTTCTAGAACATACCCGATGATATGTTGAAAAGCCTTCACGAACTTAAGTAACTAAAATGCTTACAGAAGTAATCATTTTTTTTTAAATATTAAAAGTTATATATACTTGCAGTTTACACGTAATAATTAATGTCAGTTTATTTTTATTAAATTTCCATCATTAACTGTGAACTAATTCGAGAAATTTTTGGCATAGCTTACACTAGACACAAAAATGGAATTCGTAAATTTTACTTGAAATTCTACTTGAAATACAAAGCTAAAGCGCTGCATCTCGCAATATACCTAACATATTTACTTCCATCACAAAAATACGGAGATGTAAGCTCAACCGGCAATAAAGATATTTTCACTTTGTAATAAATCAGTCATGAACAAGTTACACAAACTTAATATCAGTAATAATCCTTGCATCATTCCAACAACCTCACTGCTTCCAAACTCTGATTATACAGTATATTACATTTGGCGTCGTCCAATGAATTCGATGAAGGAGTATGTTCTTTACATTCCCTGAAATAAGATTTTAGTCAAAATTTTAAATTTAAATTGCAATTACATAATTCTTAAACAACAACGAAAGCTGTCTGAGGCTAAACAAAATTCGTGAAGTAGCACAAGCATTCCAACTTCCCTTTACAGGGAGAGCTGAAATATAAGAACATCATTCTCAATAGTTTCTATAAAAACACGAATTTGAGCCTCACTTCTTTGCAAAATATTTGAAAAACGAACCCAAAATATCTGCCTGAAACAGCCTCAACATTTTTGCTCAATGCCACATACAAAGTTGTTTGCGCACCATCCTAAAAATAATTAGACCTAAAAATTGGCTCAAATATGTCATGCCTAATGATAGCTCTTAAATTAAGCTTCTACCTTCATTGACCTTTCAAAGTAAGCTGTCAACAGATTCTAAGCTAAATGCAGCAAAATTGTCTGGAAAATAATTTAATGAAATTGAGACATTCAATTCGAATTATTCTTTAGGAGTAAAAATAAGATTGCAGGAATTGTATCTTACTCTCACCTCTATCACTTATGCATATGAACACGTAGAAGTCGAATTGCTTAACTTTTCAACAAAAGTAGTCGAGAACATTACCTTATCAGTTTTCATGAACAACCACAGAAGCGGAGAGATGATTTGCATAATATACTTCCGGCTGAAAATCGTGTAGCGCATAAGCTCAGTGAAACAAACACCGGGATGTACAGCATTGATTGTCGTTGTAGTTCGTGGGTCCTTTGTCCTCAGTCGTCTAGTTAACTCACGGGCATGCATAACCTGGAATCTTCAGAACAGCTAACAAATAGTTCATTGAGCATTCTTCAAATTTTATTATTCTTAACAAAAAAGAAAACGAATAACCTGGGCTAACTTCGACCTGCTATAAGGCATCGATTTATTGAAGTACTTTTTGTTATTAACTATAGAAACGTCAACACTATCAGCTCTATTGTGAAGTGAACTGGAAACGTTGATAATTCGTCCATTTGGTGATTTCTTAATCAGCGGGAGTAACAGTTCAGTAAGTAAAAAGTGCCCTGCAAAAGTATTTCAGTGAATGTTAACTGTATATACTGTTAATAATTATATACATTATAGTGAAAAATGTGGCATTTCTTTTATTTTTTTTCGCTGCACTATTTACAAAAAAACAGCAAGAATTTTCGAGTGCATTGACATGCGGAATGATATAAAATATTAAACATTACAACACCTAGAGACACGCCGAATTTCGCAAGCTTGTATTTCACCCAAAGTAAATAAGAATTCCATTTTCAAAAATAGTGGAATTTTTTTTTGAAAAACAATAATGGTAAATAAATCACGTATGTTGACACATTCAGGAATTCTAGCTCTTGTGCCGAAAGAAAGTTTATGCGGCACAAGCAAATGCGTGATATTGTTGAAATACAGTAAATACAATAACAGGCAAAAGACAAGCAGGATCTACCCATTTCATCCTAAAACATTTCATAATGTCGAGATTTTTTCAAATATACCGAAAATATTCTGGCGAAAATTGACAAGACTTACCGAGGTAGTTCGTTTGCCACGTAACTTCATTGCCGTCTTCTGTCAACTCGAATTTTGGATAAAACATTATTCCCGCGTTGTTTACAAGTATATCTATTTTATCCACCTCTTAAAAATATGGGTTATCAATTACAAAATGAAAAACAAGCACTGACTACTAAAGTGATCATATTTAGAATAGTTACGCGATTACGGACAAGTAAAGAGACAGGAATACTTTATTGAGTACTACACACTTCTAATATATGAATGGTCAGCATTAAATTAAGAATTCGGAAATTTTGATATTTCAGAACTCAGAACTTAACGCCATCTAAATTTATAAAAGTAGTACAATTTACAGATAACTTCTCCAAGAACATGCCAGGCAAGGAATTCCTCATTCTAACTTGACTATTAAATAATCTCTGTAAATTTCAAACAAGCCATCAATCTCAATCGTCCAATTAATATTCAAAGCACAAGCTAACCGTGTTTGATTTCATCAGTAAATTTCCGAATCGTTGCAAAGCTGGCCAAGTCCACATCTTTCAGTACTAATCTCGTTGGATCGCAACCCAACTTGAATGAAAGTAAAATAAAAATGAAAGAACATGATATAAAATCTCCTATCATTTGATCGATAAGAAAATAGTGTTTAAATACCCCAAAAATCATAAAAGACATCCTGAATAACAAATCAGAATATTGCGTGATCCTTTTTTAATTCATGGAGTTGAGTTCCAAAAATTTCCTTACTTTCGTTAGTTCAACTCTTGCATTTTGTGACTTTTTACGATCTCTACATAACATATAAACAGTGGCGCCTCGAAGGTTAAGCTCTCGAGCTGTTTGCTTCCCTATACCTGCACTTGCTCCAGTAACTAATGCTATTTTTCCTTTCGCTCCCACATGTTCAGTGAATTGTGCACCTTTCAAGCGACGTCTGAAAATGGAAACAATATTTACTTGTTATTTATTCGTATGTTAAATCGATGTAAACTCATTTTGAACATGATATGAAGTAAGAAAAGCAAGTATTTTTTAGCTTAATGGTATCCGAACAACACTATTCCATTACTCCCGCACTACCCCACTGGATGTTAATAAAGATTATCAAATAGATCAGAACATGCAATATTTGAATCTCTTGCGAATTCTTTTCCAGATCAATTAACTAAGCAAAGAGAATTTGTGTGCAGTGGAGTTCAGGAAGTGTATATCTGGGTAGAGCCCGTGACAACCTTCATCAAAAACCAATTATGAAGTTATTTTTACTACCAACGTTTATTTTATTGTTTTATTTCAAAAGATGACTAATTTACAGTTCTATATTTTACATATATATAGAAAGTGTTCGTAGAGTGACTAGAAGCTCAAAATTGATCCACTGTTGATTATATTGACTGTGACGCTAACCAGCATCAAATCGTCCTGCATTCGCATAGACTTATTACATGGAGAAAATTTGCGTTTCTATCTCTAAGGAAAAAACGTGCGGTGCAGGTAGCATGAACACTAACTTGAATTTTTAATTACAATCACCTTAAGAAATAGATGCTAACACATGCCAAAACTCCAAACAGTGGGACCGACAAGTTTCCAAAATATCTTTCATCAGATACCATCGAAGATCCTGAAATTCGATCGTTTAATAATCATTATTCAACTGCCCAACTACCAGTATTTCAATATAACGCGTCCCACTAGGATTCAACCCTATTCATGTCATACCTTGGAAAGGCATCTGAGATAGTCTCTCGGTAAAAGTAGTCACTGAAAATCGGGTTTACATACAGCAGTAATTCAATTTGATTTTGATAAATGATACAGACGAAAGGATGCGCTGGAAGAATGGATCTGTCGAACGAAATAGGTCGGTGTTTGGATTCAACCAAACACTAACGGACGGATGCATAGGCAAAGCTGAGTGTCGAGTGGTACTAGAGAGCGGTAGTAAATTCGAGATATCAGTGTCAACACAGTATTTATCACTGTATCAGCAAAGCATTGCATTGTATGACCGCAGATGACCAGAAATCACCCTGTTTACAAGCACATGATGTTTCATTTTACTTTTTTTACTTTTTGCAATAAACCGAAAGAAAGGACGAATAGTTTCCGTCAGCAGTTTGTTTACACGCATATAGTTTGTTTACATATATGTTCCTTAAAGGCATATGCAAAGCTGCGATCATCAGAAGTATGACTTAAATTAACACTAATTTAATCATTATGATCATTATATACCTCAAAAATGATTATGATCATTATATACCTCAAAAAAGAACGCATAATGTACTGTGATTTTGAACTTTATCATCCAACTGATAAGGATTACGTGACAAGTAGCCGAAAAGTTGAGACCGGAACTCCAACGCCCCACACCCCTCCAAATATCATCCAAACTTTATTCGACAAGACATTCTACAAGGTCGTTCTGTGCCTCTTTCGTTTATTGTTGGTCCATATTACACTTTATACATTAAATTTCAGTTAAATTGTTGCATTTCAAAGAGACGATTCATCTTTTACTACCATTTATTAATCGGTCTAACTTCTATTCATTTCTTAATCGGTCTAACTTCTATTTATTTATTAATCGGTCTAACTTCTACTTATCAAACTTTAGATCATTCCATATTGGTGACTTCAGCGAATTGTGGTAATTCATTGATTTCTAGCGGTACCTATCACATAGATAGTGCTAATTTATATCTCAACTATTCATGTAAATTATCACTTATTAAAAGTGATGTCGTTAATTTTAGTATCAACCGTATCATTATCATTTGTTTCATTGTTTTACGCTGTATTTCTTAGAATGGCATTGCAATAATCTTTTTTTTTTTTAAACGAATTAACTAGCATTAATTATATTTTCATGAAACGTGAAGTGAGACTTAAATCTAATAACTTTTCCTAAATGTCAACGGAAAATGATATTATTGAGAGCGATGCAATATTATTGGTAAGACTAAGTCATCAGACCAGCTTTTTAATGCCATACGTTAAAATACATTGGGCATAGCAATGCTAGCCATATGTTAAAATACATGGGCATAGCAATGCAAGCTTTTTGATGCTAGCGGATGTCAGAATGTGTCGGTCGCAGGTATGGTACCGATGCATTTGAGATATCGAATACGGGAGTGCTGATTCCGGAACTCAAGACTGTCTTATCCATCACGTATGTGCTTTTTTCAGGAACCGTTCTGATTCATTATGAGTGACATTAGGCAAACGTCACCGATATGTAGTCATTAATACAATAATAGATTTCATAAATTTTTACACTTTAAAAATACAGGAAATGTGAAATCTCGAACTGAATGGATATGACAAGCGACATTTGAAAGGCAATAAAGAGACCTCACGTCATAATTGGTCTTGAAGTTTGCTAGACTTTCCCTACGAGTCTTGAAGCATCATCTTTCAGATTAGCTATTAGGGATATGCATATAGCACACATTTGAACACATTATAAAGTAGCTCATATTTCCTCAATCACAATTTCATGACGCATAGTTTACGCAATGCATTTGGTTCCTTAGATTAATCCTTGAATTGAACCGATGAATACAACAAAACCTTTCAGTGATCTTATATGATAGCTTATTTTAAGCTGTTTAACAGTGCTTTTTCTCTCATCACCTGTGCAGGCAAGATAGTGCATTAATTTACCTCAAAAAAAGTTTTCGTTACTTATCGTCAAACCTTCTCTTTACTCAGTTCGTTAAATGGATGCGTTTAAATTCCTTGTCATTAATTGTTTAACAGATGGCAGTATTTTTTTCTTAGGTATGCCTCGGCGCACTTCACTACTTCGCCATTTATTAAACCATTACCGCCATCTCTCATCGCCATTGGCTACTCGGGCTAAATTTAATCTGATTTCCAGTGCTCTTCCTTTCTTTCTTTGTGCTTCTTTCTCCAGTAAACGTATTTGTAGAACTCAAAGATTGCATTACTGATTTGCATTTCTGATTTAATTACACTTGACATAATGAAAGAAAAAATATTTTATAGTTCCTTTTCTATAAATAATATTGTCTCTTTATTGTTTGCTGATCTGTTCGTTTAACTATCTCTTTATATATTTCTTGTAGCCACTTATTACACTATACATATCTGAACTTGACTTAATGTTGAAATTTGAAAGTTATGCAAATTTTCAATAACGTATGTGCTTTATTATGTTCGATGCTGTATTTAGCACGAAATCTTACAACTCCTCACAATTCTGTTGTTTTTAAATCCTTTCCTCTCTTCGCAGTGCAATTAGAACACTTCGCAATTGCTTCAATCATTGGGTTTCATAGTGTAGAAAGATTTCACCTGTCAACAATTCTCAATGGTGAAAGATTTATAATGAAAAAAAAATTACAATTGCACTTTATACTTAACAAAATGACTGAAACTTAAAATGTGAGTCAGATGGAAAGATGGAAATAAAATTAATACAATTATAAATTTCCCGAAATTGTGGATCAGGATCAATTCATGGTAATAAAATTATTGATTTTTTTGCGTTGTTCTTTTTATCGAGAAACATAGTAATCCTGTGAATAGAAAATGCTGTATCTATGTCATCATGATTTTCCTGTTGCATTGGTTAATAACGTTTTGAAATATAAAATGAAGTTTTGTATCACTTAAAATCCTACGCATCAATGATAATAAAAATTTGTAAGGTATTAACAAAAATTAAATTAACAAGAATTTCAATTTCGAATCGATTGGTGAAAATAAAATTATTGGTGCAGAAGTCGTCTATTAAGATATTTTAAAACCATGCAAATTATGAAATAAGGATCGCATTGTAAATTTAATTGAAATTTGCTTCATTCAATAAAGTACTTTCTACTGCTATCCTTAATAATAGTACAGCTTCATTAAGACAAATCAAGTGCACTGCCACTATAATCATGTAGAATCAATGTAATATAACGAAAACGGAAGTAGCATCACTTATTTCTGTGTGCACGATTACTAGATTATTCAGTTGATACTTTTCTCTCAATCTCTCACATCTCGTTCTATAATTTTCATTCATTTAAAATGACTTTTGTAGGTTTGATCATCTTGACGTTTGTTTATTTTGATGCAATATTTATGCAAAATGGGAAGCTATTTCTTTCATTTTTCATTCCTGTTTTAGATCAGGTCGGTCTACATCTGCATTCTTTATACATGCACTTGCAACTCATTTCATACGTTACTACTGCACGAAGTGTATACCATATTTATTGAGTATATGTTTGTTCAGTATATTTTTATATATGTTTATTGATTATATTTTTTATTACTTGACGAATACGAATTTCATGATTATATAATAGAACTCCAGTCATTTAAATGTCTGTCAGTACTATTCTAACCGCAGAATTTTACGTTACTTCTATTACTTGATAGAAGTATGACCGTGATAGCAAAATGTAAATATTGTGCTAGAGACTTGAAACTGTGAAGGATAGATTAAGATTACTAACGATAAGATTCAGGTGTGAGATTGAATAGTGAATTTGACGATGACTATGTCACATACATGCCATCATTAATGAATTTACTACATTGAATAAGTAGGCATTGATACGGCAGTTTATATTTTTGATATTAATCCATCCCGCAATGGATACATATATATATCATGTATCCATATATCCCGCAACGAAATTTCTGCTACAGTAGTACCGAAAGCATAAGCGGCATGCGCGAGACACTATCGAGTCCGGGGAAAGCGTATGCGCTGTCTTTGATATAGTGTTGTTATAGTCGTTATTGTCATGATGCAGAGGATCTGTCTGTGCTAGTGTATGGTGGATATTTGATCGATTTTTGTTGTGAGTTTCAGCCATCCGGGTGTCTCCCGCGGCGTCGCGAAACTTGCTAGAATTGTGCAAATGACTGAGGACGAGAAACGAAATTTCTTCAGCCTTGCATGTAAGTTGGACAACTTCCACACCTCCTATCGAAAAGTCCCTAAACTTCGTAGGCGGCTGCAATGCATGCATATGGTTCGGCTTCGGCGGCAAATTTGAATTTTCGGTCTAGAAGTCCCAAAGCAGGACGAATTTACACTGAGTATGGCAGGGAGTTGTGTTGGGTTGAATGAAAAAATAATTTTTTCATGGATATGCTGGGATTTATTTCCTTCTTAACTTTAATTTTTTTTAATTCCAGCATTGTTTTGAATTTAATTCTTATAAAACATTTTTAATATCCTACCACTTGTCTAAGCGTTCACAGGCATAGCGCAAATTTACATTTTCTTTCCGCACTTAGTAATGACGATATATTTTTTGAAGTATGGAGTGCTGCTTTATACTATATTAGTTAATAATGCTACTTGAGATAAAAAATTAGTGCAATCAAGTATTTAGTTATGGTCTCGATTACTGTATTCGTCAATATTCAGAATATAGTTTGTATATCTAGAAGTGGTACGCTTACTTGGATCCCGAATTTCTGGGAATCATAAAATAATACTCCTAGTGTAGTCTACCATCCTGGGTTAGCATTCTTATCTGACTTATTAATTATTAACAGAAATTTATTTTTCTCTGCTAATAAAGTTTAGATATTAGTACAAGAAACCAACTGACAAATTCATTCCAAGCCATTAACTGAGAAATTTAATAAAATTTTGTAAATATCTAAATTGGTTTTTGCATTTTTATGGCAAATTATCAAAAATGTATTTAAAAAAATTATCAAAAATATATTTAAAAAAAATCATTGCATTTACTTTCAGCTTCACGAGCTCCAGGCAAACGACAGATTAAACCAAATGCTAATATTTTGCTCGATGCTATTCCACTCAGCGACAGTGATGAAGATGATGATTTCATTGGTTAGTTATGAAATCCCAGAATTCATTTTGAAATTTATCTAATACATTTATATTCATCAAACATATCTTTGTGTAATGATTGTTGCTTCTTGGACGTTTTTATATTTAAGCTCAATCCGTACCATGTATCCAAGCCTAATTTATGCTTCAAAATTTCCCTAATAAGTTTGGAACTTTCAACTATGTAAAAGTTGTTTTTTTCTATGACAGCTGGAAGGGTTGGCGACGAGTCGTCATCTAATTCGGATCTGTCAAGCAGTGACGGTGATGAAGAGAAAGATGAAAACGACGGTAACGCGCAAACTTCAGATTCGAGTGAGTCGGAACCTGGACCTGAAAAGCACCAGAATGAGGTTTTTCATTCTCTTCTATCTTGCTATATTGAGATTTTCTATAGCTTCATCTTCCATTGATTTCAAACCTTCGTCCACACCGAACCTTATTGCAGGATACGAAACCAGAATTCAATGTTATAGGTGCAAATGGTTACAACATTCAGCCAGTAATCTTTTTCAGTTGGAATAGTTTTCATGTTTTTGGTGATCTCCAGCTTCTGTGGTTTAGGCTTTTCTAATTATTTTTGACATTTTTCGTTTGTTTTTCTTACAGTGATAGTTCGGATTGCAGCGCGATAAAGTTTGTTTCTGAATTGAAGCTCAGAAGTTTTCATTCATTTGTTAAGCTTAGTTACCTTGAATTTTTAGTTTTGAGAATTTTTATTGTGATAATTTTTTGGAAATTAGATTTAAAAGGGAAGAATGATTGACTTATTATAAGAATATTTATCACTGATGGAAGTTTTATTCCTCTCATGAACACGAAATTTTTTGCAGGGAAATGCAAAAATTTCAAATCTAAAGTTTTAGGGTCAGTTGATCTGCACATTATGTCTGAATCAACGTGCTATCGTGCGCAATGATGAAGTAATTCAATGTGATAGGTAAGTTAAACTTTAAAATACTGATAGGGACAAAAAATCTGCTGAACTAAAGTTTTAATTTATTAAATTTAATAGATTCAAGACATTCTGTTTTAATAGAGTTCAGGACAGGATAGATTTATTTGATTTATCGTTAATGAAATAGTTTTTCGGAAACGAGGAGTCAATATTCTTATAAAAATGGTAGAATCATTTTTTGTTTTTTTCTTTGGGTGGTTGAACAGTTTTTTTTTTTGACTTTGCTTGTAGATGTGGTGTGGCAGTGCACGAGAATTGTTACATTACCGAAAATGTAGGGGATTCCGAGAGCGATGGTTCCAGTTCATCAACCGAACCTTGGTTTTGTGAAGCATGTTTGTATGGTCTCAGAGAACCACCATATTGTGAGCTATGCCCAAATAGATTTGGTGCTTTCAAAAAAGCTGGTAATTTTTGTTAGATATAATGTTTCATACTGCACTATGTCTTATATATGCATAGTAGAGGTCGGTTGCTGTTTAACTAATAATAATATAGTTGGAAATATTTCAAGTTTTTTGCACAATTTGGACAATATAATTTTCGCTGACTGTTTCAGACATTGGTGGTGGTTGGGTACATTTGTTATGCGCGCTATATACTCCGGGTATAACATTTGGTGATGTGGAGCGTTTGTCAGCTATTAGTTGGCAAGAACAAGATTATAAATTATTTGGCAAACGAGTATGACTTAAAACAATTTTTTTTCAGTAAGGCCTGGGCAGAACAGTATATAAAGGACTTTTATAAATACTGGGAAAGGAAGGTGTTTAATTGGCAAGAATGAGATAAAGTTTTGTTTGGATGTCCTTGACAACTATGGATAGCTTGAGTTAGCTGATAGATAAGGTATCTAGTTCAACTAATATGGCCAACATTCGGCGGATTCTGGCTCTCAGTTTCATCTTCACGAAGAAATGTGCTACCGTTCGGACTTGGAAACTGTGTTAACTATCTTTCAATGATTGATATAAAATTTTCAAGTTTTTTTGAATTTAGGCTTGCATCGCATGTTCTGACCCGCTGTTAGCACGTACGGGTATTGCAGTGCCATGCGATGCGGCACTATGCAAAAATCACCTTCATGTCACTTGTGCACAAAGGTAACAGTTCCCGCATAATAAAGGACGAACTAAAGGCTTCATATGTAAAACAAGATATAATCTGTCGAAAGCAGGGTGTACAACTTAAGGATCTTTCAGATTAGGTTTATTGATCGATAACACAGAGAAAAGTGTCGATTCGAACTTGTCAAATAGCACGAACACAAATAGTAATAAGTAACGTTTAAATATTCATTCATTTGTTTCCTTCAATATTTAAATCTGTTACTTTCTGATTTTACTCTTTATTTATGTATACTTAATGACGGGTAGAATGCAGTTGAAGTTGAACAGAAAAAGTGAAACCACAAAAGGGAAGGCATGGATAAAAAGTAAAATCTTATGTACATAAAAATTAAGTGATTTCAGTCTCACAGCATATGACGTTGAAACAGTAGATCCACTTTATTTAACTTGCAAGCGTCATGCGAATGAGAATCTGATGAAGCAACGAAAAGCAATGTAAGTAACTGAAATATCGAATTCTTTGGAATTCAGTTGATTATATATTGTGTTTTGAAAGGCTTGGAATCTTCCTCGCTAAAAAGAGATGTTTGTTGTTTAATAATACCAAAAGAACGTGAAGTATATGAAAGCACGTGGTGTAGTTATATTTTTCTCATTGGTACTGTGTGTGTTTCTAAATTTTTATGAAGTTTCGACGAATTACATTGCGGTTTTGAAGGTGTGAATTGGTATATAAACAGGAGGAAGCGCGAATGTTGGGAATCCGTAAACGAGTTCTCAATGAACGAGAAGAACGAAAAAGGTTGATTATGCGAGGCAGACTTCATTAGATCTTTTTGTATTAAACTGTCGCAAATTTTTTATATTAAATTACTATGTTCAAAAAAGTTGAAGCTCTGGAATTACAGGATACAAATGTTGGAACGGCACAAAAAAGCGATGAAAGCCCTGGAAGGTATTACAATTGCATGGCCCGAGGTTTCTTCCAGTTCGATTCTATAAGCTTTTAATTTCTTATGAAATTATTAATTTATTTGGCTAATTTTGTTCCACTATTGGCTATATTGTGCTTAATAGCAAATCATAATACTAAGCTGAACGAGATAGTGTGGGACCACCTACGAACCAAAGCGGACAACAAGTCTGGTAGTTCGATGTTTATTTAAATGGTCTGCCTACCAAAATAATTGAGAAATTTTTTATTTGCAGCATGATAACAAACGTCCGCGTCTATTTCATACAAGTGCTCAGTATCTCGAATTATTTTTTGAAAAAGCGAAAAGTAGCGGTATAAATCGGCAGAAATTTTTGGAAAATTTCATCAAAGTTGATGGCGCTCAACTACAGTATCTCCCTCCGGGTTTCTCAAGCGAATTTATTGAGTTGGTTTTTTTGATTAATTTTGTGTTTTTTTGATTAAACTTAGAATTTTTATTGTTCTTTCTTTTGTAACGGATTGATCTCCAAATTGCTGAGCATAAAACGAAAATAGCCTACTGCTTAGTTGAACGATTCATGTTTCCCGATTCCAGAATAAGCAATTTTTCTCCTCGATTTTTCTATTATGTTTTCTCTCACCATTCATGGAACTAAAGTTTCAAATTTTGTAAAGATATTTCAATCATCGTAAGAATCTTATTCCACAAGAAACTGAGAAACTGGAAAAATTGAAGCAGGAAAACGAAAAATTACGAACTGAGCAGAAAAAACTACAAGAGTTGTTGCAGGTGATTCGTTTGCACTGTTTTATTGGCTTATCAATTTTGAATATTAGTTTTATGTTTGTTCCTACACAGGGTTTCATTTTATATAGCGTAACAGACCATTTATTGCATTCTAAACAAAAGCATTTTTGGCGATGAAATAAGACCCGACGTTTTTATGCTACCTGCATTTTCAGAGTCCCGTACTTCCGTTTTTTGATGATTCGAAGGTGCTACAAGAATGGTATGATACTCTACATACTTTGGGATTACGAAAGCTTGAAAAGCCATCACCGCCAGTTGAAAATAAAGCGAAGTACTGATTTGAGCTATTTATATGATTCAAGTTTTTTTTTGGCCTGACTTAATTGGAATCAATGTTGGGGCATGTTGACGACTGTTCCATGGTCTTTGCAGTTCATTTTTTTAAGAGCAGCAAAATGAAATATGTCAAATAGGTGTGATGATTTTAATTAATAAAGAAAGGGTTTATCAATAAAATGAAAAGATATGAATGAACTTGCTCAAAGCTTGTGATAATCATTCATTTATGCGTTTTTTTTTTGTAGGAAAAATACGCCGAGAAAATCACAAAGCTTTCTAGCGGCAAGAAGTCCCTCTACCAGTAAACCCTCAACATCTGCAAGAGTGTCAGGGAAAAAAAACTCATTAAATAGTGCCGTTTTTGAAGGAATAGATCTAAAGATAAATTTCTGTGATGAGTGCAAAAAGGTATGTATAATCTTTACACCGAAATATACAATAGTAGTGAAATATTCTTTAATCGAAAAATATGTTTTGCTGAACAATGTTGATTTGGATAAGGTCTATCATTTGCTCTCGTACGTAGTAATATTAACCAATGCCAGATCTCGTTTCATATTTCACTTCATGCCGTAGAATTGAGAAGTTTGAAAATTAATTAGTGGGACACTGACTGATTTAAAAATTGGAACTCTCGGAATTCAGTTTTAAAAAGAGTAACGATTTCAGACAACTGATCAGCACCTGATGACTCAATGTGATAAATGCTATAAATATTATCATTTGGCATGTTTGGAACCACCTTTGTTGAAAATGCCAAAGAAAACAAGTACTCAGGGATGGATGTGTTCGGTGTGTTGTGATGTAAGCAGTGACAGCGATGCCGAAATGGTAGGGGAATATCGGATATAACTCTACGAAGAAATCTCGGGAAATAGACTTGCTAGTTTAGATTTCCAAGAAATGCATCTTTTTCACATACTTACCCAGATATTATCCATCTTTTGCACTGTTTATATGTTCTTATGTTCAAGTACTTGCTAATTTTACTGTAGTTCCCTTCGCACTTACATTTTGCGAACTTTTTTGAAACACTGGCTTTATTAATGAGCAGTTTTAGGCGGGACTTTTTAAAAATAATTCTCTTCAAAATTTTGAAGGTAAAAATATCGTATGGCGGCCGGAGAAAGTTACGGAATCGATCTTTGGCTTTAGAAAAACGAAAAGAAGCGGAAAAAGTAAGCAAATTATTGTTGCAATTTTAAACGAGCTTTTCTCTTGCTATATAACATGCCTCATGCATTATTTTGAAGGCCGAATGCCAAGCATCCAAAGTGGCAGTACTTTTTACGAAGCAGTCCGAAACCGATGACAAATATCAGAACAAGGCTACTCTATTCGTTAGTTTTCCTGACATTTTCTGTGTCTTAGTATATACTTCATTGGTGTGTGCTTAAATTCATTGTTTTGAAGTATGCTATAACTCTTGCTGACTTGCAAAGAGCAAAATAGTTTTTGTGTGTATTTTCACCAGAAAGAGAAAGACTGTCTCTAATTGTTCAGTATAGCGTGTCTTCGATGGAATAAAAAAAAAACATTGCATATCTAAGAGTAACAGACTGCTTATCGCTTTTTTCCTTTCACTTTGACCTAAATGCAGCCGATTTAATCAAGATTTTTAGATCAGCAAAGTCTTTTTTAATAATTTCCATTTTCAAGGGCTTGTGACATTTTCAGACTTCGCCAGACAAAACTAAGAAAACTACCAGTTCTAGCCCTACAAATCATTCGTCTCCGACAACAGTTATTCGTAAGCGACGCATTTCAGATCATCCGAAAAAAAATTCATTTGGTGATTTTAACGGGATCCATCAGCACAACAATTCGGTTGGTTTTCATTTCTTGTTTAAGCAGTTGCAAATTTTCTAGAGCAAGTTTGTTCAGGAAGGACTGCTAACTAATGCTTTACAAAACGGGAGACATTTAACTTATTTCTACCGCTAAATATAACCAATTATGAAATTCATATGCTTTAATTTTCAATCAAGTTTTAGTCGGTATCAAAAACTTAAGTGGACAACTGCGTAAGAAATAAAAAAAAAATGATTATTTCAAGGCAGTTTACTTTTGTTGTGTGATGTGTGATACTTTAGGTCGCAAAAAGAGTTCCTAGCTTATCACCGGTGCCTCATATGCCAAAACTAAAGCGTCGTCGCAGTGTTAATTCTTTGCCGCCCACACTACCAAAGTTCAAATCAAATGAAACTGCTCATTTAAATGAGGTTGCTCAAAGCTAAAGTGAAATGATACTCGCCACACTGAAGTTTTTAAAAGGATTGTGATTTCTTAGTTTATTTAATTTTAATCGGGAGAATTGTATAAAAGGTGAAAATTTTTTTCGATTTATAATAATTATATTTCAAAAAAAAGTTTATCCTTTTATCTGATCGTGTTTTTATCATCTTAGTTAATTGAGTTTCATACATATTTCATTCATGGTATTTTTTGAAATCAATTATTCTCAATTTTTATTGTGTACTTTCTGACATACCTCGGGAGTAATATTTTCTGTTCAGGATTTTGTTATTGAATGTTTTGAAAGGTAATAATAATGGATGCTGGGGTTTAAGAATTATCAAATTTATCTACTGTAATTTTTGTGGCATAGTCTTTTTTTGTCTAAAACTGATGTGATAAGTGTATCTAGTATTTAGATAACAGTGAAAAATATTTGCTCAACAATGAGATATTTGCTGTGTAACTATCCTTCACTCAAAACGTTTCTTTACTAGCAGGAAAGATCTTTAAAAAATTACATTACAATTTGAAAATTACTAATTCTGTAATAAAAGCCAGTAATATAAGCAAACATTGGAAAACAGTATTTATAAGACATTTGGCAATTTCGAATCTATGATTTATGGGTTATAGAACTTTGAAGCATTAAATCAATGGCCTTGCATCTTTACTGCCGGATCATTTTTTTTATTTGCAATCTAACAAGTTTGTTATCGGTACATTTGAATCTTAGAGAAATTGGAGTTTCTATTTTCAAATTCTGTTTTTTCCCTTTTTCCCTTTGATCTTGTTCGTTTCATTGAATTATGATCGAGATGCTTACTCTATTTAGCCATACCAGTGGGTAAAGTAGGATAAAACAGGGGTTCGTGAGAGCTCGGGGCACCAAAAGGTAATGAATTATAAGGATAAATTACAATCTAACAGCAGATATGATATAGTCTTACAATAAGCGTTGAAAAAATTTAATGATGAGCATCTTAAAATAGCTATTTTATATCATTCCTCTGAAGCGTATGTTGTTTTACTAGTTGTACATCAAATTGAAATACTAACACTTTTCAGTGAAGGAGGAAAGAAACTATGAAAATTGTTTTCTATGTGAATAAAGACTTGTTTTATGATGATATGAAATTTCTTGATAATGCACGTAAAAAAACGCCCATAATAATTAAAGAGATTATGGGTATTGAAAAGAAGAGAAACGTTTCAAGGTGTTGAAACCACACACAACTGGGTGGCTTATGGGTTGGGTAGGAGATGGGGTTTTTAATTTTAATCCAGTTCATTTATTTATTGACTAGAGGTTTTTGGTCAGTTACTGCTATAGACTCATCAAATGGTAAAGAACTCAAACTTTTTCAGGGAACAACTCTGGGAAAATCTATTATCATTAAACCCCATTGTTGAAGAATCATTTACTGTTGGAAGCTGGATGCCAGTGGGGTTACATTATCAATTACGAAAAAAAGGTCAAGGTTGACTTTCGGGAAGGGATCCTTCTGGAGAAATAATCATCAAAGATTTTTTTCAATCTTTTTTGTCAATTCTAAAATTGTTGGCAACATTTCATAATTGAAATTGTTACATGTTAGATGTCGGAATTGAGGTCGATAAAGGCGATCACTGATGCTAAACGTTTTCCCCTCATATTATACAAACGAATTCTAAGGTATGTTAGTTAAGTAGTTAGAGTTGTGTATATGTGTGTAAAACAAAAAGTATGAAGTATTTTCTTGTTAAAAAAAGTCACTTTCTCTGGTATATTCTGGCTTGCGAAATAAAGTGGTTCATTCGTTTCAGCATGCTATTTCCTTCTTAATATATCCACAGTGGTTATTGGTTTTTCTTTTCGTGTATTTACATTTCGTATCAAACGAGTTTGTCACTAAATGATTTCATTCCATTTCTGTTTGATAGTGATGGACTATATCGGAGGTGATGGGTAATTTCATTTGATTTATAATGGTTCGATTTTTCTGCAACTGAAGTTTCATTTAGTGCATTCAAATGAACGTCTTCAGGAAGAATTTAAACCTAAACAATCTTAATTACTTCCGATACTCCATATTCACTTATTACTCGGAGCTATTTAATATGTTGTTTGATTACTGTTCATGTTTTACTTCCGTTTTCTCATTATGTTTCATTGTATTTATACTTTGAAAGAATCATGAGAATACACTACTGACAATCTTATCTCGAACAACTTTGTGTTCAGCTTTCGCTTGCTGTCTTCATAACTTGAGATTTAGAAGAAATACATTCTATCATTTAGATGATAGAAACTTAATCCTTTTATTTCAAGATTACATTATGGCTTGCCGAAAAAAATGCGTATGATCGGTGATCAGTATATAAAAACTGAATTCCAAAGACATAAAAATGTTCCGCCTGAACAAGCTGTGGTATTCTTGAAAGAATGGAAGGTAAGTATACCATACGATGTGATTAACACATTTTATTAAACACTAACTTGCTCATCCGATAAATTAGTTTTATGATGTGGTTTTTCTTTTTACCCATTAGGATTTCGAATTCGCCAGGAGGCAATTTATATCATATAGGATTTTCAGAAATTAGAGTAGGAATGAATTAGGTAGATAGATCTTACTTATCTGTTAACTATCAATTATACGTACGCATCCAAAGCCTGGACGACCAATATTGTTGATATTGTGGGCAGTTAAAATATTGTTGTATGATGATATACCAAAAATAATCCTATCATTCAGGAATACTCAGCGATCTTATCAAAACAATTATCTAGTCGTGGCATTGCAAAAGGGATCTTAGGCGTTAATTTGAATTCCACAGTTTTGGATAATCTGCAAGAAGACCAACTTTGGCAGTTATACAATTTAAAACTGGAAGCAGAAAAATCTTTAAAGGAATGATAGCAGTAAATCCGACTAATATAAATAGGAACTTTCATTGTTTACAAATATTTATAAAGTGTGAATTTGCTGATGTATATATTAGAATTTTTTTCATGCATTCATTGAAGATATCTTTCATTCATTAGTGAGTATTATGTTCTGGACTTCAGCAAAAATATAAGGAATAAAATACAGTAGTTAGTGTCTATCATAAAACAGCGATACTAGTACATTCACTTCAGCTGGTACAGGAAATTTAAAGATTAAGAAAGATTAAATTTAACGTAGATTAGCGGCAGACATTCTATAAGAGGGATGAGATACAAGACTGTTAAGATGTTGTTAGCAAGAATGGGTTGGAAGTTTAATGTGGACTATTGCCCAGTAATGGTTATTCCTTATGCGTCGAAAATTTTTGAAAATGAAAATAATGCATTTTAGATATTTCTAAGAATCTAGCAAACATTTGAATTAGGTTTTAAGCAAAGGCTTTTAATGAGTTACACCAAAGCTAGAGCGAACTGGTTTGTTAATCAGAATAGCAAGGGGAACATTTGATCATCTATCAAAGCACAGTTAAATTTGATTCCTACATATCAATTTTTTATGATGTAGCGGAGTATCTTTCTCTAGTTTATACCTTTTCAATGAAGAAAAGTTGTATCACAGGGTATGAGAAAATTATGTAATAAAACTGTAAGAAAAAAAACTATGAAAAACTTAATAAAAATAACAACAACAAAAATGACGCATGAAAAAATCTGCTTGAATGTCAAATTTTCTGCAATTTAAAATCTATCAATAAAATTCCTTTCCGTGAATGTTTGAAATCTAAAAATGAAAAAATTCCTTTACAGCTAGAACAATTAACAACCAACATAGTTTCAAATGAATTATTGATCTGCTAGTTGATTTGAGAGCACCGAGAAACATCGGAAATTCAATTGTTTGGTATTTATAGATTAAAAAGCCGAGTCATCTGCTCTGATTCTTCAAAACACTCATATTCTTTATTGGAATCTCGAATAAACGATGAAAGGCAACTTGATGGAGAAAGGAATTACATAAAACAAACAGGAAACAGGTAGAGAATAAATTAAGTGAAATAACAAAAATTTCAACTGCTTCAAAATAAGAAAATTCGCAACAGAAAGGAAGGTAACAAGAAAAAGACGAAAAATAAGTAAAAATTTTTTAAGGATACTGTAGTTGAAATTCAAAGTCAAAAGTTCTTCGAATTAGTTGCATATTTGATTCGCTCTCATATGATACTACCATTTGCTTCAACAGTTTTGGTTTCAGCAGATATACAATAGCTATTAAGGTCAAAAAATACTCAGAGAATACCGGGTGTTAATAGAAAAATACCCAAATACCCAAAAATCGTCAGCTATTCTCATATCTGTACCTGAAACAATGTTTGATTCTGTTGAGTTTAGATCGAAACAAAAAGTTGGAAAAAATGAATACAGCAATCCGCGATCAACATCATCAAAATTAAAAATCAATACGAATATTCGATAGCGAATATCGCCAACTCTGCAATAAAAATGAAATAAAAGCTTAATTTCATTTCAATAGAAATTCAATACTGTCTGATTAATGATAATGTTCGGCATTATCTCTAGTTTTTAAAATCCTTTATGATTTAAACATAACTAAATTCTATAGAAATTCTTTCAGTTGTAAAAAATAATAATCATCGTTTGATAAGGCAACCAACTAAAGCCAAGATAGAATGAATGACCATTACTGATAAGAAATATTTCTATATTATTTCTAAGAAACAAATAAAAGTTACTTTTTAAGAAGATGTTATCAGAAGAAAAAAATAAGGAAATGAGAGTTTTAACTTATACAATATGTGCATTTAACTTATGCAATACTTATACAATAATTGAAATAAATGATAGTACTGATATGAAAGAAAAGCATATTCTGCAATATAATCAGATAATATAGTTTACTTCAAGCAAAAATAAAAGAACTTCAACAAAAGCCAAATATACTCTAAATGGAAATGAACTGATTGATAGAATTGCTATATTACAGGATGCATTATTATTAATCACTCAATGAAAACTAATTTTCTTTTAATGATGGATGGGCAAATCAAATCAGTGATAAGCTTTGCCACTTAAAAGATATTTTTTTAAAAGCTCAGATAATACAGCATCATTAATAATACTACCAATTAGTTTGTATCCAACATTTCTAAAGTCTACTAAGTGGAAAATCCAACCGTCTTGAAAGCATACTTTAAAAAAATGAAATGATACGGAGAATGAAAAGTGAAGAGTAGTAGTATTAGTGTTGCGTCTTCGGCCTCAAATTATAGAAATAATTATAGAATAAGCTGTCAGATTATTTAAAACAGCGAAAGCGTAAACGAATAATCCATCATTATCTGTTTATTTAGTGGTAATGGCAAAGAATATTTCCTCTATTCTATGTTTATATCCTTACCTAAAATTGTTAACAAATCAACAGCCGTACCTATCAGTGTCAAATATTTACAAATTGACAACGATACGTATGCGTACCTTCCAATTCAATCGAACTATTTCCAGTATTGGACATTACAAGGACCTAAAATAACACTGTTTATAAAATTTAAGAATAAGAATGTGAGCTTTGGATGCAAAAAGCCGAATTCAATGCCCAATTCATCAATCACAGGAAAGACTGTTTTTCCAAGAAATAATAGATTTCGAACTTTTGAATATGTCAGGGCGAAGTTGCAAATTGCATTAAGCATCCATAATTCGGTGTTCTAAGGAACAAAACAATTAATAAAAATCATTTCAGTGATTATTAAACTATTATTTTTATTCTTTCCCATAAAAATAAAACACTATTTTGTAAGGAATATTACTCACGAAAAACTGTTCAGGAATATAACTAATGAAAAAGGTATCTTCGAAGAGATAAATACGGCATTTTATAGATCAGAGCACTTAAACAGATTAGTAGAAGAACCTGAGCGGAAATGAATTCATAGAAAAAAATCAAACAATTTGCAATAAGGTAACTACAAAAGGACCCCTGATAACTTGGATGGTGTCTTACCTAAACTGTGAATGAAATGGCCCATTCTTCACTGTGAACATCCCCATTCCCTTCTTTTCCTCCAAAACTTCATATTATACGAAATACACCGAATGATAGACAACACGTAATAATGACAAATAGAATACAATCTGAAGTAAAATAATCCAGATGTTTTTGACAACTTGCAAATACAAATCATCACTTGAAACAATTTTTGGAAATTGTTTGAACAACTAAGTATTAGAATTATACACAGCAAATAAATACAATACTGAAGTGTCACTCTTTTTTATTCTCATCCTTAAATTTCAACTGTGCAACATGTTTGTTGGAAGCAGTCTTCATCAAACATTTCGCGTATTTTCGCCTGTCACTCCTATAACAACATTAGACTCAATCTTATCGATATCATTAACAGAAAATAAAATTTGACTTTTGAAGGAAGATAATCCTAAATTTTAGCTATCTTTGATTGCAATTAAATAAACAGCGATCACTTTCGAATTCGATTTCCTTGATGAACTAAATTATTGCTTTACTGTTCTGAAACTTAATTTGTACCTGCTCATTACAACTCGATCTCGACATCCTTTTCCACCTTCCCAGAATTGTGATTTTACACGAGTAACATTCTCGTTGCAATTTATACACGGTTTGGCTTTTTGAAATGGCTGAATGCTAATTACAATAAATAAAACTTTATGAATATTTGAACTTTTGCACTTTTGAAAATAATGTTCCGGTTTTCATTAAAAAATAAAGACTTTCCTTTTCTGCTATTCCACATAGCTTCCTTAACAACATGAAAATCATTTTAACGACCAGTGGTGTCAAAGCTCATCTGCAGAAGCCTGAGTATTCAGAAACTAAGAAGGCTGTTGGTTTGTATATTTTATAATCAGTACCACAAGCTATAATCAGATCACAAGAATTGATCAGTTTAAAAAATTACCTGTTCTTTGCTGCAGAAACCACAAATCATTCGATTAGCTAACTTCATTTCATGTTCTTTTTCAGCATCGTTATGACACAAATCACAAGGATAGAGCTTTCCACAGCAAGGGAATCTATAAAATTACAACATCTGGAATTCAAATTTTAAATCAAAATTTCAAAATAATTTCAAGAAAAGTAACGGTTCAGTGAATAACAAGCACAAACCTGAACCATCGGTAACTCTTCTTGTAATGCCTGCATGTTCCATTTTCAGGGAGTGGTTGACCTTCAACTAGCATCATTAATCGTTCCACTTTTTTCTTCTTTTGCTAGAAAAAGAAAACGTAAATAAAAACAAAAATAAATAATTCTAATAAACAAATAATAAATGAAAACAGGAAACAAGAAATAATAACAGGAAACGGATAACATAATTAGTGGCCCTGAGAAGGTTGAAGTTTTAATTGAAGTTCTACTGCAAGTTCTTCGAGGGAAGTGCATCTAGTGTAATGATATAGTCGTAGTCATTGGAAATGACTAATTACGATTTCTATTCTGCTCAACAGAGACATCAGGTTACCTAAGTAGTTCCCTCCACCGTCCCGAAATAATGTTACGACAATCTTTCAAGTGATCAGTGAAATTAAGATGATTAGGAACATGAAACAATCTAAAAAAATGAATATGGCAGACTCACTTTGCTTTTTGGGACAGAGTCATCTTCCTTCGCAATCGAATTAAAATCACCAACAAATCGAATACTTTTAATTTCAAACTCACATTTACTGTGGCAACAATAACACCAACTCTTACTGGATATTCCATATGTGACATTCTGAAATCAGTGATAAGCTTCAATTAATTCCGGTGAAAAAAAATACTGAAGCATTAGGAAGTTCAAGATGACCGAAAAGATCTATCAGAATCAATGTTATCAATAACACCAAGCTTACCAACAAATTAACAGTTATGAGGCCTAGCAGCTTCATCATAATTTGAAATAAGATGTGCTATATATTAAGAAGTCTTCGGAAAATATGCAGTATTTTATGGTAGGTACTATTAATAACTGCAGCGAATATTTTGAAACTTAAAAATTGATTTCAAATTCTCTGAATTCATGTACTATTTTTCGACTTACCATTCACATAACGCAGATGAGACAAAAAACTATCACAATTATTAATCTATTTGAAGGCTCCATCCACAGCCTAACTAATACAAGAATAAATTAAAGTAAAGATACAACTTTCCATCGTATGATTGATGATCAAATCTCTAGTGCACGGTTCTCAGTTCATTCATTGTACTGCAGTTCATGCATTGTGTTTGCGAAGTGGTAATTTAATTATTGAGAATCAAACCTTATAATAATAACTTTGTGACATATTTTTACATATTAAAGCAAAAATATTAACTAAGAAATACCTCAACTGCAGCCTCTTTATTGCATTGCAAGCAAGTATAAGAAAGTTTTGATGAAAGTAGCACACAGTCTAGTGGAATACAACCTTTTGGTTCAAGCAATGCGATAACATTTGAATTCTGATGTACAAGTTGAGGAGAAATATGGACCGAAAACCCATTTGAGCATCTAAAATACACTTCATGACTTTTTTACGAAAACTCATTTCTTAGCAATCCCTTCTGATTATTTTCTCCATCTTTCATTAATGAAAGAGGAGTTAATTCACCCGAAGATTTTGTCTAGCAAGTATTAGCAACAATCAACCCTCCATTAATCGCTTTATAAAATGTATCAGATTTCAATAATTAGTACAAATCTAAAAAATTTACTTCTGGCAGTGTGACGAAGAAAGTTGTTTCACTGAGCAAGTCAGGAAAGATAACGCGCCACATTTTGAACATCTGATGCTTAGAGCCATTGTGATAATAGATAAAGTAGCAATATTTTCATTCAAATCGTTCCAAAAAACACGGGCTTCAATGGCTTTCACTTTTGATAGTTGTTTAGAGCTAGATTCTTCCTGCAAAACAAATAATAAAAATCAATGCAAAAAGCTTTCAACACAAGGTGAGCAGTGAAAATTCAAATAATATCGCGGAAGAATATAGAAATAAGCTAAGCACTGTTTTAATAAGTTATAATTTAATTATGTACTATTTTCAACGCAGTGCACCATCATTTGTCGCAAAACAAACATAAAGCAATTCTAGCTAAATTGCCGAAAACTTTTTACCGGCTCTTTACATCTTCAGATCTTACCGTAACGATTTCTGCCTTGGGTGAAGGCTGAAATCCTACTCCATCACAGATGCGACTTTGTGTGATTTCATCATTATCACAAACTACTGTTTCCACTTTATCAGTCTGAAAAAACAAAATTTCGATGCTTTGAAAGACCAAATTTCCGATAAATGAGTATGGGACTGCAATCACCAAATTAAAGGTTTGACGAATTCAACAGTAATACCTTGAGACCATTATTTTCCTTTTCGTCGCTCAAACTTGAAAAAGTCGTTTGATGCAATTTAATACCTTCCTTTTCGGCTTCAATAATCATTTTTGTTCTTCGCAAACCTTTGATAAAAAATTCCAAGATATTGCGATCTATCCAACGAATAAAAGTTTTGCCGAGAGCGACATAAGCATTACATTTTTCTGCTTCCATAAACTTTTCCTGTTATTAAGACAAAGTTAATTTCTTTTAAACAATAATATGAGCATTTTTTTGCCTTAATCAATCAAGTTTGTGATATTGTGCACATAACTGAAAGAACAACTTCTATGTTTATAAACAAGTTGAACTTTACGTAAAATAAATTAAGCATTTCCGCTTGAGCCATTTCAATCTTTAAACCATGCAGATGTAAGGACAGCTGCATATTTATTTATATGACAAACTTTTAAAATCTTTTCAGTTTTGATCTTTCCAGTTCCTATTCCAATATATATGCTTATTGGACAGCCAACTAATTAAACAATTCTCAGTTTTTTCTTTACTTCATTTTTGTTGATCATCAAAGCCAATTTCCTTATGGATTTTAAATAATTCAACAATTTCTAGAATAGACGCCTCAAGGAAGTTGTTCATTTCTTTGTTGAGGTACGTAACGAGTGGAAGAGGTAAAGTTGTCTCGCTCAAAGTCACCGTAATCGGTTCGCATGGATAATACTCTGGAATCCTGAGTTGCAGCTTCAGAGATTTTACATCGAAAGCCTAAAATTCGATCCCCATAAAACTAAAGACTCGTGTGATTTTTCACATTTCTCAAAAGGAGAGACATTAAACTTAGTCAAACTTTTGTAAGTTCCAAATCAAAAGTTTTTGAAGTGTAGGAAGATAGCGTATGAGTTAAAAAGTGAAAATATATATAAGCTTGATTACTGTTAAAGTTTCAATTGAAAAATAGGAATATTCCAAGGAAGTTACCGGAAAACAAACCCATTCAGGATCTGTGATTTTGTATTCGAATTCAGTAAAATAAGAACTGCCTTCGCGTGCAAACTTTGCATCAGGAAATCTTCGTCCGAAATAACTGATTTCTGAATCTCGGACATCTAATTGTTCTTTCTTTCCAATATCATCTCTACTTATTTTTATTATGTTTGGTCGTATTATGAATCTCGCAGGCTTAACGCCTGCATGTAATGGAACATGATCAGAATTGTTATCATTAGTTTCATTCTGCATGTGTAAAAATCGGCAGTATTCCCCAAAATAGCAAGAATTCTCAGCAGCAAAGTATTTACAGACTTTCTTTTTCGAAACTTTCAGCAGCGGTATGGAAAAAGGATCAGTGCTCCTATTTTTTGCCAAGTCTGCAATGAAAAACATACCGGAGGAGAAATTTGTCGCAACAAGTAATTAAATCTCCACTCTAAGTACTCGAAGTACAAGCGAAAAGCCGGCCATCAAAATACATGGTTCATAAAAGCGATTAGACATTAATGCGCTCAATTATTTTATGAACCTATATGTTACGATATCAATCATTAAGATCGCTGACTCAACAAATGTCAAATAAGCGGAAATATGATTAATTGCCGGAATAATCAAGAAACATAATCTACTGAGCTTCATAAGTAATTAACTGTTCCATCAAAGAGATATCCTAAATTTATTTTATAACACTGGCAACAAATCAAAAAGGATAACTTTGATAAATTGTCATTCTCACCTATCCCAATCTCTATAACGCTACTTTGTTAAATTGGCCATTCTCAACTATCCCAATCTCTATAACGCTACTTACCTTTTTCCTTTACATTTGGACTTGATGTAGACTTCGAAACAGAAGGTACAGCGGAATCATAACATTTCACATCTTGGATTTTAGCAGTGTCAATAATAGCTAGTGATTTCTGGAGTTTCAGCTGTTTTTTTGGAATATTTCGAAAGCGTTGATAAACATAACGGGCACTTTGAGGTGCCACATCCTGGGAAGATCCAGGAGCGGACGAACTTTCCGATGTTTGTCGGTCCGACGACATCAAAAAAAGGAACTGCAAAGTATGGAAAACAAAGAAAACTGATCACATTACTGTAATTTCATCTGTTGAAAATGAAAACCTCTCAAAAAGAAACGTTGGGGTACGCAGAGAAAACTATCAATAGCTCCAACATGTCGAAGGGCAGAATGCCAGCATATTTCTATTGATAAATTAACACCACTTTTATCATATCATTTTTTTCTGCACCACATGGCAGAAAACGAATAAAAGGAAATAACAACGAAGATCCACGGATTGAATAATACTGTAATCAATTTTGGAATTTTTTTCTTAAAAACAATCCAACAGGAAAACAAACAGAAGAGAGAAGTGTTTTTTTAATCAATCGGATGTATTTTGGACCAAATTCCTGCCTCGCCTTTTGAATCAATAGTAAATTTCCACCCACTGTAAATTCTGGGACCAATAACACACCAGGTTGTAGCTCAAGAAAAATTATCGTATAAGCATATATA